AATAGAAAGCAGAAACAAAAAAAACAAAATTGGTTGTTCTGAAATTGGAAAGTCAGGGAAATAAAGCCATGTTGAAACTAGACATTCTTGGCTTCACACAAGAAGTCTACTCTACACTTATATATACCTATAATCCATGGGATTCACTTTCATTTAGAATGCTATTTAGTTTGTATTAAACCAAATTAGATTCCTTACCCTTCTTCCCCCATTTACAAAAAAAAGAGTATTTCCATCCTCACCTACCGTGCAATGGTTATTAGTCAAAGAATAGAGAATGACTATGGCAAGTCTGCTACACAGCCTGGAAATGTAGACACATCCTATTAGAGTCAGATTAAAAGTATAAACAGGCCAACAGTGGGGAAGCTGTTTTATAAAGCATTTTCTCCAGTACAATGATCTCCAGCATTATGAATAACCTGAAGCAAGCAAGGAGCCAGGAATGCTATAGCTAATTAAACAGCCAGATAGCACCTCTAATTTTTCAAGTATTACCCATTAGTTCCAGTTTCTTCTATGTAGGAATAGTTGGGAAATAGAAACCTAACCAGTATAATGCTCAATAAAACAGAGTACTAAGACTATCATTGCTTCAAATGTGATTAAGGTCCATCTCTCCTTTTAGGGCATTGTCTAAAAGCTGGCTTAAATATTACTGTAACATCAAAAAAAGTTTTCTTATAAACATATACTACAATTCAGTCTGAGGTGCCGGGGGGAAAAGGATATGCATCACCAGGGGAAAGAGGAAAGCTGCAAGATATTTATTTTACATGTAGTTCCTAAACCAGAGAAAGATCCTTTGTTATTATTTAATGGGTCATTCTTAGAATATTCCTGTAATCATTCATTTTTAAAAAAATCATTCCTTCAAGATACTTGTGGATGGTTGCAACTCTCATTCATCAGCAGAACGCTGATCCCCCAGAGGCGCATTTAGGAGCAAGAAAGCAAAAAAAAAAAAAAATTCACTAGCAACATTTTTCTACAAACCTTGTCATAGCCTTCCAATTCTCTGAGTTTCTTGATTTCAAAGAGATTACCCTCCACTGCAAGCAATGAGATCTGTGAATCACTGAGTATGCTCTGAGGAAGCATGCTGAGGTCTAAACAGTTCTCTTCCAACCGCAGAACCTTGAGGCGTGGACAGTGAGAGATCTTCACTGAGATCTGAGAAATCTGGTATGATCCAAAAGGAAAAAGTGGAAAAAGGCTTGGAACAGTACATTTTTACTGATAATTGGTTATTTGAAGTACACTGATCTGT